GTTGAAAAACTGCGCAGAAATCAGGACAAGTCAAGCAAAGCATTCAGGCTATAGTCAGCACAGTCTTGCTGCTGATTTAAAAGATGACTTTGGTCATAACATTGAAAGGAACAGAAAAACTAGCACCCCTGGAAAAGACAACATTGTTTGGAATTATACGTGCATGTCAGGGCTTCCTGTGCTACATTTTGTAGGAACAGCTATAAAAAGGCCTTGTCCCAGAAGAAGGCTGGAATAAGTGAAAGAGTTACTTGCATAAGATACAGAGCTAGAAATGACAAGTCACAGATTTTGTCCATAGGTGCATGGGAAGCTTGTGGCACAACCAGTCAGTGAAATCAGATGAGCCAAGACCTGGTGCAGCATCTCCAGCTTAGATAATTTCAGAGCATCCAGAAACTCTCTCTGAAAGATCACTATTCGATGTGCACAACTTCAAAACATGCTGGGTTTACAATTAAGAAATCCTCCTGAATTCAGGGAGTTTTAGCCCCACTTCCCAGATATTCCCCAAGAATATGAATTTATTTCCCCCACCAACATGCAGAGGTGCAGCCAACAGGGCAAAGTTGGGATGCTGTTACAGTCTTAATCTCTAATATCTGGTCTCCTCCTTCATGCTGATAGCAGTCTTCAGTTTCTAAATTATTCTTGTTCTTCCTCATTCCCCAGTTTGTGAGTCCCCACACCACATTATTCTTTAACTATTTCATTTAAGGTCAACAAAAACTGGCTCCGGCTTGTCTGCTCTCCCACAGGGACTATATCTGCCCCTAACCTTTCTGGATATATCGAGATCTTGGGATTCACATCTGAAACCAAAAATAACCTTTAGGGTGCAGAGGTCATCCTCCTCAAGACGTCTCTTGATCCACTAGCTTTTTAAATCACAGGGTCAACTTAGTTGGGTTCATGATAGAAATATGAGTAAAGCTTGGGTATGCTGTGCTAAAGTTAGATCTACAGCCTCTTTAAACTGAAGTACTGAATACAAACAAGCCATCTTCCCACTCTTTTTCAGCTGGAAAGTGAGTGATTCACACCCAGAGGCTTCAGAGTGGCTCTAAAACCCCACACTTTTATCTCTGAGCTGCCTTCATTCCACCTAGGTCCAGTAAAGGAAAAAGGCCAAACATGCCAGAAATTTGGCAGCTTAGGGTATTTAGCAGGATATTCCTCTAGTTCCAGAGCAGCTACATCACAAGGGTAGCTGTCCAAACAGAAGCCTAGGGGCAAGTTTGCTAGAAAATGGTTTCAATTCCTGAAGAAAAGCATTAACAGAGAGGGGGTAATGTGGAAACTTCACAAGGGCACTCCTTGATGAGCTGTGCCTTTGACCAACAGCACCTTGCACTAAGAAAAGCCTCAGCAAGTTCTTCTCTTGCCACATTGCTCTTAGTCATTCCCTACACAGATTCCTCTAGAGCTGTTTAAATCAGCCTCTGTTCCAGTATGCAACAAAAGTCAGTAAGTCCTTAAAGTGTGAACTAGTTTCTAGTAACAGATTGTTACAGATAACAGTCATATTGGAGGAAAGTTTTCCTCATAAGCCAAGAAAAAAAAAAGCCTTGCTTTTAAGCACCCATCTGTACTCATATTCGGAATCTCTCCTTTCGGAACAGGCAGTGACTACTGCAGCTACACAGTGCAAGGAGTTTTACACCGCTGTTACTAGGAGTCTGTTCTTAAGTTCCTTGCACAGAAAACAGATTGGACTCCGGGTTCCACAGGCCTGACACAATGTCTTAGGAGAAACACACTAAACGCACACTTACTGTGTGGCCCTACACAATTTGCCTTATTGCAGAAGGAAAGCCAACAGGGAAGTATTTTAGAAGACTGAATTAAGCAACTTAAAAGCCTAACAGAGAGCATGATTTGGACACAGCAGTAACTTTATAGCCGATTTCACTCTTGAAATACCAAGTAAAGAAATTTCCCCGCCCCCTTTTTTTGACTTAGCAAGCATCCTTTCCAAGGGCAAAGTCAGCAAAAATATTATGAGGGACCGCACTGCAAATACAGAGATTCAACACTAACACAAGATGCACGGCACGGCACAGATTGGTGAAGGCATTAAAATTGGACTCTGGAACAAGCCTATGGTATGTCTCAAAGCCACTCTCACTGCTTATTCATGCTATAGTGAACATATATGATACAGCTGTTCATGCCACATTACAGAAGTGACAATTTGCATAAATCTAGATCCCGTAGAGAAAGCAGATATCATTGTTACAAGGTTTCTATAAGCCAGTTGTGGATCCCCAGATCACTACCACAAAAGAAACAACCAAAGAATTCAAAGTTTATTCTTTAAAAAAGTTATTTAAGAAGCAAAATAATTTACTTCAATTCAAACCAAAGAGATGCATTATTGAAAGCAAATAATTATACAAAGTAACAACAAATTAGCCCTTGGATAAAAAGTCCAGATCCCAACAGTTCCCTACCTTCCTGGAGGTTATACACAAACAGTCACTCAAGGCTTGGGGAGTAAAGGAGGACCACATATAGGATCAGAATGTAATTCAAACTTCCACTACTCTCCTTGCGCCCCTAAACCTGAAGTTGCTTGAAATCCAATTCTGAGTCATTGAACTGTACTAAAAATTATGATGGCTTAAGCATCATGGTTATTATCCAAAGTCCTACTGATGACAATAAGAACAAAATTGGAGCACTGTTGTTTGAACAAGACCATGGAGTGGGGACACTAACAGTAACAAGCCACAGAGTTATACTATCTCGTTAAACAGCTGTTCAGTCCATAGTAACAGAAAAATTTATTTCAGTTATTGGCACTTGTAATTTTTGAACAAGGGCTTTACCCTTTTATAATATTTTACCTCAAAGTTGTTTATGCCTGTTCTTCCCAGTCAGGATAGTAAAGTTAGCTCAGCACTAACACAGTGTTGTGCTGTTAATTCTAAATAACAACATTTGGACTAAATCTACAAAACCACCTTTTCCAGGGACCTGTCTTGTGCAAAAACTTCTGTGCTTATCTTCTAAATAATTTTCCCAAAAGTTCTTGGGGTTTTGTCCTTCCTCTCAGTTGCCACCAAAATCAGGGTTCTCTTATATAGATAGCTGGTAACAAAGTACAACCATTTACTTCATACTCATGACTAGTACAACACCCTGATTTTGTATCACTCGCTAGATTTGAACCTAAAATAAGGCAGATGGGAGTACCACTTGTGTAGGTCAGCTCTGCAGCATCCTAAAAGCTGATGCTTCCTCCTCTAAGGTCCCAAAGGTGCAATACATACTGACCTATCCTTACCAGGTCTTCTTCCCTTTTAAGATTTTATATAGCCCAAGAGAAGGGGAACATCGAAGAGAAAGTAATGCATTTGCCAGTTCCCATACAATTCTGATAATTCACAACTTTTGGAGTTATAGCTAGTACATTTTTAATGACAACTAGAACATGCCATGCAATGTAGAGAATTATTATGATGAACCTCCATCCAAAAGAAATAATTTTCCATACTTGACCACACAACCTTCAAACATCAAATGCCAGCTGCAAAAGGTTTCCCATGGCCACGGGCAGCAGGCAGTCATGCTCTGAACTCTGCAATCCTGCTTGCCAGGAAAGAAACTCCTAAGTTTCCCAAATAATCGAAAAACATACATGGACCCAGATGACAAGACCTCACCATTCAAACACATTGCGAACTCCACATTGCTCTTTTTCCAAAATGCTGAATCTATGTGACCAGGTGTGCATCCCAAAAGCTATCATTTTCCACGTGTAATTTTATTAAGTGGACAACAGTGTGTCACACATCTTTTTAGAAGCGGACAGTCATCTCCTGCCACAGTGCTCAAAGAATGCTTTCACAAATAACTTCTCTTCTTGCACCACATAAAAGAAAAACACTGCTTGCTGATTACAGACATAACAGCTTGCAGTGATGGTAATTCTGTCACATTTAACTTGCAGGCATGAGATCATCTTCAAACAAACTCAACTTGAGTCACAGCCAATGCTATCTATAATGCTGCCCACCGCTATGTATGTTGCTGGAAAATAATGTTTTATGTAAAAATATTGTATCTTTCTTTTCCAAAAAACCACACCTTGCCCCCCAGCCAATGCTATCTATAATGCTGCCCACCGCTATGTATGTTGCTGGAAAATAATGTTTTATGTAAAAATATTGTATCTTTAATTCTTATCAGTGTCACATCAGTCAAGGGTAAAATAAATTGCAAAAAGTACTTATAAGGATTATCGCGGATAAAGAAAACGTGATGCAGATTGATCCTCTTCATTCCAAAAAGAGAATTAAGAATGTAAGTAGTGAAGGAAGCAATACTAAAAGGAACAATTTCTTCTCTCAGTATTTACTGATTTCTAATTTCCATTTGAAATCGAGAACTCCAAATTAAGATGTATGAATCTGACATCAACAAACTGAAATTAAGCCTCTTGCAATTTCTCTGCTCACGCTGGTTTGGCTGACTGACTGAACGCTCCCTCTGTTGGCTAAAGGCTCATTGCTCTTCCATCACATAGTAACTGGGAATTCAGCTTTGCTGTGGGATATACTGTCTGACCACACAGAACAGAATCCAGTAACAGCAGCACAAGAACTAGGGAAGGACACAGTATTCCAAGGAACACCGGTAGGTTTTGCAACAGTGACTACACTTGTATGTCCCAATTATATGAGGTGACAACATTTTGTTCTAGGAAGAACTCACACAGCTTATTCAGTAATTCTCTCATACTTTGAGGCTGTTAGAACAAGCCCAGAATTCCCATCAGTATATCATACACCTTCTGCGTAGTCATCACTGAACCCACTTCCTTCCTCATTTTGCAAGGATGCTGCAATCAGAAGCTAGCTCCGTTTTCTGTTATAGCTCATTGCCTTCTCTCCTCAGTCTGGACATACTAAGTCCGTGACAACCACTGCACCAAATACAGTCAACCTGAAATCCCACACTCCTTCCCTGACAAGGAGACTCTCCAACTACATTTTACAGAGAGACATTTTGAAAAGACTATGTTTACAGTCTGCTGGTAAGAAAATAATTCAGAATAACATAATTTGCAAGTTACAGACAGAGCTGAATAACAGCTGTCCAAACTAACTAACCTCCAGTTACTAGATTAACTATTGAGAAGCTGCCCATAAATGTTGGCAGTTAATGTTAAAACTGAACAGCTGACTAATTTGGTCCAACTTGGAAGAGATCTGAATGCTGCAGAAAAACAATATAGAATAAAGACAGTTCCACCTACAAAGAAAGTAAAAAACAGATGCAGTATGTCACCCTCCCTAGTTCGAGTCTTACAAGTGCCTGCTGGATCTTCCAGCCTACAAATTCCTGTTTTAGTATCCTGTCAGGCAAAGAGATCACCCACACAAGACTTGCCTGCTTAAGACAATGAGCTTCCAAGAAATTCCAGTCCTTGGGGTTTTCCTCAACCCAAGGGAACAGGGGACAACTTCAAATCTTCTTAGCAAACAGGCACTTAAGTTAGGAAAGACATCTCCTTTTTATTACAGAAAATGAAGATCAGTTAAGTGGTACTCCTGGCACAAAGGAGATGTTGCAAATATGCTGTAGGGGTGCACAGAGAGCAGATACCAATCTGATACGTGACAGGAGCATTCATTGTGGCAAAACCATTTCTGTCATTACCTGCCAAGCAATGATTAGTGCCACGCCTCTGACAGACTGCAAATCAGAATCCAATAGAAAGGGGACAAACATCACTTCTAGCTTTTACTCTAGAGGTAAAGTGTCATCTTTTTCACAGCATTTAGTCTCTATAGTTCACTTTTCTTGTGACTGGTTTTCTTCTTGAACAAACCCAGAAAAGAATCCCAGTACATCAAGAGATGCGACTGCTCCATTAGCTGAGCAAGGAGGTAGACGCCATCGATATTCTCTTCAGATGGAGCACAGAAAAGGACTTTGTGCTAATTAACCGGTACCAAGATTCTGGTCACTGGCACCAAAATACTGCAGGGCATCAGCATGAGACGCAACACAGTAGCATCGAGACTCGTCCAGCAGCTACATCTGAACCACGTATTCTTGGCATCTGGAACAGAAAGGCATCTCTAATTAGCTGCTGTCCAACTTTGTGATGGATGTGCAGTGCAACAGCGTAGTACAAGTCCTGAACTGGTCTACCTGTTTTTACAGTGATAAGCAACATCTTTTAGGTAACTCAGTTGGGGAACTCATAAATTACTCGCATTACTTTATTTCGTTAATCTTCAAACAGTGCATATTCCAGAGGAACACAGCTCAAGATAAGCTGCGCAGAAGTCAATCATCAGCAAATGGTGACTGCAGAATTGTGCACACTCCTCTTTCTAGTTCAGGTGTTTCTTGTGTACAAGACAGAAATTACACATTCTCCACATAGTCAAAATGGTTTCCCAAAGGAAGGAGACACTGACAAGAACGATACAGAAAAATCACAAAATTATCAGTTCAGTGGAAATCCGCAGGCTACAGTCAAAATGGTTGCTGTGAATAGAATTTCCTTTTCCTAAGCTTTGCTATCTACTTAGAGGGGAAAAAAAGAATAAAAAATTTGGAGAAGTAATTAATTGTAGGATCTAAATCTCTGCGTATCAATAGCTTGTGTAATAGGGAAAAACCCCACCTATATCGGCTAGTATTTCTAAGCCATGCTTTTCAACAACTGAAAGACATACAGACAAGCAGCCAATGAAAAACTTAAATTACAGCTCACCTTATCACATCACAATGCAAGACAATCCCATACAGCCTTGATTCCCATCTTCGTTGCTGTTGAGCTTTTTCATCCGGTACTGCCGGATCTCTCTCACCAGTGTGTAAAAAGCATCTTCCACACCCTGAATGCAAATGATCCAGGTAAAGTATTTTCTTTCCCGAAGCTTTTGAGATCACTGTTCTTTCCATCACAGGATCCCTTAACATATTTGAAAGACATACTTCTACAGGAAGAGTAGTAGCCAACTTACCCCATAGTTCATAAGAGGAAGAAACTAGCACTTACGTCCAAAACACTCCACTTACACTCTTAACTCTTCCTCTGAGGCAAACATCCGGGGTAACAGCCATTAAAAGAAACAAGGCAAATTGTAACTGTAGAGAGGTCCCATGCAGGAATCAAGCTACTTCTTGACTAATCACCTCCGTTTTAGAATTCTTAGAATTTCCTGGCTCCTGCTTAATAATTGCACCTTTTCTGCTTCATTCCACACTGATGTAGGTAGAACACAGGCTGACTGGACAGAGCCACATATTCAACGCAACCCTGAAGAAGTCTATCAGTCCAGCCTGGGGAATTCTTTCTGTAAACGTAATCTTATAACTGGCCTTCATTAAGAAGCCAAGAAAAACGAACAGGTCTGGGATGACTAACCGCACAGTCTGACCACTTCTCAGCAAGAGCGGATGAAGCTCTCTTCTTCTTACAAACATGACCCACTTGAAAGAAAATCAATACAAGTCTGAAGTGATTTGTGTACCGACCTAGCCCAGTGATAAAAACAGAACTCTTTCAAGCTAAGAGTGAGTGGGGAAATCAAAAGGTAAAAATTGCAAATGGATTAAAAAATGCTTACTCCTGCAAATAAGAAAAAAAGTACATGGTAAAACGTTAGACTGCTCTGCATTTAGCATATAGGAAGAAGTCAGACCAAGAATGGAAGCATCTTACCTGTCTTGTTTTAGCAGATGTCTCTATGAAGGGGATTCCATAGCTTTTTGCTAATTCTTGAGCCTGTTTTGTGTCTACTGTTCTTGTGGGCAAATCACACTTATTCCCAACTAGCACCATTGGCACATCATCTGAATCTTTCACTCTCTTGATCTGTTCTCTTTAAAAAGAGAAAGAAAAAAAAGTTGGGAACTATTTTCTAAATATAAATGCTAGGTTAGTTCAGTATTCAAACAACCTTATGATACAAAAATATATATTAAAGCTAGACAGGACCTCAGGGGTCCTAACCTACAGCAGTATGTCTAATAACTTCATACACCCCGTCTTCTAGTCCATGTATAACCCCACTCTGATGTGTGTTTGACTTCCTATCCATTTTCTTAGAGATCGTGTTCTGTATGTTCAAAATATCATTTGATTAACGCAACAACCCAGATAATTGTCCCACTCTCAACTGACTAATAACGTATAGACACAGAACGCAGATAAGCTTGAAAAACTTCCTGAAGGAAGTGGGAGATTCAATATTTGCCTATTATTTTGTCTTCACTGGGTCTAATAGCAAATGGGTCTGATGCCTTTTCCAGTCTTCCCTCCCTGTGGTAAAGACCCAAATCATACCTGTAAAGGTTAATATCAGCAAACGATTTACTGTTGTTAATGGCAAAAACACAGAGGAATCCTTCCCCAGTTCTCATGTACTGATCACGCATGGCACTATACTCTTCCTGTCCCGCAGTGTCCAGGATGTCTAACAAGCACGTCTCTCCATCAATAACAACCTGCTTTCTATATGAATCCTGCAAAATACACAAGCAAACTTTATATTAGAGAAAAACGTTGCACTACTTCTTTCTGCCTCAGGCGTTATTAAGGAAAAATAAAAATAACAATAAAAGAGTATGAGAGGAGCTTTTCTAGCCCCCCCCCCCCGAAAAAATACCAGTATCTAAAACTATCAGCATTTAAAATGTTACTCTAAGCCCCCTCAACCTTTCTTACAAAAAAGAAAAATCCTCTTCTTCGTAAGAAATTCCTCAATCGGTAGACAGAAAAAAATATAAATACCAGCACCACAACATCATGACTGGAATCTACAATCTACGTAGATGGGTGGTGACTTTTTTTGTTGCCATTGTTGGCGGCCTACGCTCTGCTTCAGAAAGCAAGAGCGGAACACGCGAGGAATCTTTGAAAGAGTTTTCCCAGAATTTCTCGTTCTGCGCACTCTGATCTCAGGACTGGCTTTTTAAGCAATGAAGTCAGTAGCAGCCTCCCGCCTCGACTGACACAAAGCTCCCCTTTTTTTCCCCCCGCGCCGGCCGTCCCGCCCCTCCCGCCGCCGGCTCGGCCGTGGCCGCACCGGCTCACCTCAATGGTGGGGTCGTACTCGTCCACGAAGTGGTTCTGGATGAGCTGGATGGTCAGCGCGCTCTTGCCGACGCCGCCGGCTCCCACCACCACCAGCTTGT